AAAATCTTTGTGCCACTAGCCTCTGGTCTTCTCTGCTTGCCTCTCCCAGCATAGAACCTCTGCCCAACAAGTGAGTGGGGGTGAGGGTGTTGGGTCCCAGTGTTTTCAGCCTGCCAGTCCTGGGGTAGAGCCTCCTCCCTATGTGTGTGTGAGCGGGGGGCTGAGTAGAGAAGGAAGCCTCCAACCTCTCAGCCACACTGGCCAAGAATTGGCTTCTTCAGCTCAAAGTGGGTTTGTATGGGGATTAAATGAGATAATGTCTACAAGGGACCCAGTATCTAGCACAAGGTAGTTGTAGCCACTCCTTATTTCTACTGTATTCATCTTCTACCGGCTACTATCTGCTTTTTAGAAGAAAGGTATGCGGTATTTCCAGCAGACAAAAAACAGAGATAAAATCAAGTCACCAGTCAGCTTAACAAATTCTAACTGCAGTTGGAGTCCTGTGTGTACTCTCTCCTATTTCCTGCTCCTTCCTGCTCCTCCCTCCCATGCCACAGGGAACCACAGTCCTGAATTTGGTTTTATCATTTCCAGGAATGTTTTCGTACTTTACTACCTATCTTCAATAAAGAAAAAAAAAAAAAGATCCAGAAGCGTTTTTCCTGTGGTGGATACATAAACATCTTGTGTGTATAAGGGCAAATTTCTTAATACCAATAAAAAGAGATGCCCCTCTTTTCCTTTTAATCTGAGCATAGCAATTCCAGAAAGAAATGGTAGTGTTCAGAGAAGTTTCTATTGTAACTCTGTGTGCTGAAATGTTACTGACTGCATTTACCCACATTAGGAATTTAATTTTATAATAACAGTACAGATCCCTTCAAACATTATGATTTAAAGTTAATTTAGAGGTTCTCAACTTTGGGGGGATTATCATATCCTATTTGCTTCATTTTGGTTAGTGGTGTTTTTTGAGAATCTTAAAATATCCCTTGAAATGATGGAAGACTCATTGGAGTCCCATAGAACTGAATTTTTAATCTTACCTGTAATTTGCATGGAAGGGGTAAAAATTAAATTGAAATGCTTGGGGGTTTCCCCAGATGTGCTTCTAATATAATCTCAGCTCTGTTACATGCATCTTGTGGTGATTTATGCTGGCTAGTAGAGGCAAGGCAGAGTTGAATGAAATTTACAGAAATTTCGGTCTAAAATCCTGTTTTATTGTCTTTTTAAAAAAAGATTTATTTATTTACTTTAGAGAGAGAGGGTGAGTGGGGGGAGGGGCAGAGGGAGAGGGAGAGAGAAACTGTAGCCGACTCACTGCCCAGCATGAAGCCCCATGTGGGGCTCCATCCCATGACCCTGAGATCATGACCTGAGCTGAAACCGAGTCGGATGCTTAACCGACTGAGCCGCCCAGGCGCCCCTAAAATCCTGTTTTAGATGAAGGTGTCAGCTGAAACAAGGACCTCGGTGGATTTCTGTTCTTTCCCTGCTGAATCTGTGGGTGATTAGACACTGGAAAATCCCTCCAGCCTGAGCAGGCCAGTCAGTTGAAGTTCTTCCCTTCAGCCTGCAGATGGCAGTATCATACCAGCAACGCGCCTGACATTTGGCAAAGAGCTACAGCTTTAAAGTTCACGGCCTGTTGGCACCTTGTTAAAAATGCAGTAATGTATTAGCTGAATACGGGTATAGAAGCAGACCCCAACTTTGATGTGTCCCCATATTTACATATATTTGAATGGCTGCCCCAGTCTTTTGTTATCCCCTGGTTGAGGTCTTTTGGGGTTTCCCCTCTCTCTCCCCTTCAGGCTTCTTAGTGTAGCTCTTGTTTCTTCCTGGGAATAAGCTCTCTCTTACAAAAATACCCACCTCTCTCCCTTGCTTTGGTGTGGCTCCCATCCTTTTCACGAGGGAAAGGGATCCGGATTGAAAGAGAGAGCAAGAAGAGGGGAGAGTGAGTGCTAAGACAGGTCTGAAGTCCATTGCAGCGACAGACACCACTGCGTTACCACTGTGCCCTTTTCCTCTTGCTAGTTGTCACTCTGTTTACCCTGTTGTCAGCAATGAAGACTTTGAGCAAAACCCAGAGTTGTGTTATGTACTTGCTTCGGGGACAAGGAGCGTAGGGACCATTCTGAGACTGGATTCGGTCCTGTCTGTGTCTTTGAGGAACCGGGAAAGGGAGTGAGTGAGATTGATCACAAATAAAAAGTGGTGGGGACAAAAAAGAAGCAGACAGCCTGCTCTCTGGGACTAGATTAATGAAAAAGGGATAATAGGGATCCACCCAACTCAGTTGCGGGATCCCTGGGATTTTCCACTGGCCAGAGGCCTGGGGCCTTCAGCTCCTCAGGCCTCACTTCCCCCTTTCCAGTGATTTCCATGATAGGGGTGTGGGCAGGAGGGTGTGTGTGTTGGCGGCGGGGGGGGGGGGAATATCTGATCCTTTTCCGGATGTTCTAGGTAGACCTCTCATCATTCAAAGTAGAAATCTATGCAAAGATTCCACAGAAACACTCTCATATGATATGGTTAAGTTCTGTAGAGGTATTAGAAGGTAAGATAGTTTCCTGGAGCCTTCCAGCCCAAGCCAGAGCATCCCAGAGCCCCATGCACCCTGCATTCTGTGAGATAAACGTATGTTGAGTCTAAGACAGCATTTATACATTGAGAACTGCTTCTCTTGTATCACATCATGTGTACAGAACATGTGAAGCTTGAAAAACAAGCCTTAACCCATTGACATTTCCAACAGGCTGTATAAAATTAAAAACCGCACTTTAAAGACAGCTTGTTCTTTGGTACAACAATATAAAGTTGAGTTTTACGTTTTTGTATAATGACATTAATTTGTGGATTAAGTTTATTTGGCTCAGTAAAATGTGTCTTGCAGGATCTAGTTATTGTAATGGGCAGCAGCTTTATTAAGGTCGTTTTATTCTTTTGTTGCACAGTAAAATGTTCATTTCCTCCCAACAGCCAATGAATGTGTGTTAAATTGTAAAATAAAAAAAAAAACAACCTCTTTTATAATATTTAGCAAGCCTAAAAGTTAGAATGCTGCATGGAAAGTAATAACAAAGTACATGTTAGTATTTGCTTTTAATTGTCGCAAGCCTTGTATCAATTAGAGTAGAACATTGAGGACGGGGGGGCACTTATTCGGTTATGGAAAGAAAAAATAAGACTTGTTTACCAAATTGAAAAGAAATTAGGAAAGTGATTTTCTCTAAATTATATTTCTACTCAAATACACTCTCCAAATTCAAGTATTTTCCTAATTATATTTTATATGCAATGAATTTTTAAGCCTCTTTGTGCACTTTATGTTCTTGGTTGGAAATTTAACCTCAATTGAGTTTCCATTAAGCTGGAAATCACAGCTTAATGGTAGTTTCTAAAGATGTGATTTTAGCAAGGTATTTGCCTTGGCACAGTAATAATAGTAATACAAATGCATTTACAAACTACTTAAGTTTACAAAATCCTTTTCTATACAGAGGCGTGTGGTGTCATGGAAAGACTTGAGGGTTTGACTTCAGACCTGGGCACAAACCCCAACTTAGCCATTTACTTCCGATTACTCACTCTTCCTGAGACTCAGGTTTCTCATCTGTAAAATGAGGATAACACCTGGGTTGAAAGGGCCGTTGCACATATTAAGTAGGATTAAACGCACTCCCGGAGACCTTACCATGAAACAGTCACCTTCCAAACCCCAATGGCGAATCTTCAGAATTTTAGTAGGAAGTAGGTTTGAGTCAGCTGAGGTCAGGTAACTGATCCAGGGTCACCAGCCCTGTTTTATGACTCCAGGTCCAGGGCACCTCCTTCCTCCCAGGGGCTTCTGGGGCAAAAACAGATACAATCCTCCGCGTGGCTTGTCAGGTGTGACCACTCAGACGTGATCCAGCTTCCGTGAAAGCAGTGACTCCCAGCCCATTTTCCCTCTGACATACGTGTGACCCCACATGGCTCCCGGTTGCCAGGGCATTAGTCGAAACCCCATCCCTTCCTCTCCCACTCACAAAAGCCCAAGGAGGGAGTGTGTCTATGAATAGGGGTAACCTGCAATCCACCCCATCCCTTCCCCCTCTCAGTGTTTTACTGCTGATAGCAAGTCTCTTTGAACATGTTTCACCACTGATTGCAACACGCCATGGTTAGGCACTGTCCTGCCTGAGCTGTCTTCTAGGGAGAATAAGTAAGTCATTTTGTAGTGGAGGGTTCGTGAAAGAGTGAGGAGAGAGATGGGTGGCATCCGTGGGAGGCTAGAAAGTGCAGGCTCAGGTTTGCAGGCAAGCAGGGGTTCCTGAGTAGAAAGCAACAGGATTAGAGCGGTGGTCTGCAGGACGGCGGGGAAGCCAAAAAGCCCAGGAGCCAGGAGACCAGTTGGACTCTTGGAGCGAACCAGATGCGAGGAGATAAAGGTCTGAACCGAGGCAGTGGCAGTGCAAATGGAAAGGAATAAACTTGAGACTGGCTAGATATGCACGGGCAAGCAAGGAGGCAAAAGGGGCCAAGGCAGAAGCAGAAGTTTCAGAACATGCCATCCCGTAGGCAGTGGGGGTCCTTGCACAAATGAATATTAAAATGAGCTTGCAGCCCCAGGACTCGGTATCACGTTGCTGGAAAGGAGACACTCCAGATGGTGCAAAAAGGAAGGAAGAAAAAACACAAGCTTATAGGGTAGAGTTCGTGACACATGAATAGTCTTTTTCCTTTGACCAAGCTGCCGCCTTATAGAACTGTCTGTGCAGCCCTGCTGCACTGGTTTCAGATCCTAGGCTAAGTGACTTTGTGGTTAGTCAGACACACATGCAGCTATCTGAGTTTTGAACTTGATTCTGAACATTACAAGTGGGTGCCCGGTGATAGGGAGTATGTGGTGAGTTGTACCCTTGGCAATTGACCAGTCAATAACTAGAACGTTTGAAGTGACTAAAACCGTACGTTGAGGCCATCTGGTAGACTGTATGTCCCATGTCCGTGGGGGTAGTCTCCTTAAGGGCAGGGATTTTTGTTTTGTTCACTGCTGTATCCCCCAGCAGAGACCAGAGCCTGTTACTTAGTAGATGGCAATAAAGGATTGTCGTACGAGCAGAGGAAGCTGGGGGTCCTGAGCCCCAGTGCTGGACACAAGGCTGATTACATAGCAGGAACTCAATAAAGGTTTACTGAACGGAGTTGACGTGAATCGGATGGCATTTGGATTAATGAAACTTATTTCTGTTCGGTTTTATATTGTGCGAAATACAGGAAAATAGTAGTCTTCTAATAATAAATCAATAATTTGGTTGATAATTCTTTACTTGGAACACGAAGCAGTAACAAAACCACGGTCGTTCTTTTGCTAGTGATGATCTGGAACAGTTCATGGAAAGTCAAGGTGCATCCAGCCCAGGTATCCTCATTTTAACAACCAGCCTCAGCAAACCATTCATGCGACTGGAAAAGTATGTTACTCTCTTGCAAGAGTTGGAACGGCATATGGAGGTAAGGGAAGGCAAGGTATGGGCCTCTGCTCTGGAGGAAGCCGCCAGTCTCCCTCCAGACTAACCTCACTGAGGAATTCAGAAAAAGCCTTGGTTTCGCATTTTACTTGATCCAGTCTTCCCTCTTGCTGGGCTTCTAGTTTCCCTCTTAATGCAGTGAAATAAAAAGGGGGCATTCTTCCCCACCCCCCCTGCTGAAGATTTTTTTATTTTTACTTATTTATTTTTTCCACTTGTATTGGGGTGTGATTGACATAAAAACTGTATATGTTTAGGTTGGACAATGGGATTTTTTTAGGTGTACAATGGGATGGCTGAATATATGTAGAGATTGTGAAATGATTACCATGAGCAAGTTAATTCACACCTCTATCAAGTCACAGAGTCATTAACTTTTTTCCTTTACTACTAAATATGCATGATCATTTTCCCTCCCAGCCTCGGTGCTGCTGCTTTTTTCAAGTTGACTTACGTTTTCCTCCTCTGTAGATGGTGGTTCAGTCAAGATCGGCCAAGAACTTCTGTTGTTCTGGTCTATGAACCAACCTGATTTGGGGAGATAAACAAAGCAAAACAATAGAAAATATAAATATCACTTTCACTACAGACAGGGTTAAATATCTTGAGAGCCCTGTGATCATTAAGCTTTCTCACTCTGGATTATGCTGGAACATTCTGGAATTTCCTTAAAGATTTATAAATGGGTCCAGTATTAGTTTATCTGTGTTTGTATCCATGGACCTACATCAAAGTTCCCTCACATTTGTGTTTATCAACTTAGAGTTGACTGGCAACAAGGCCTGATCATGGAATACTGTTTCAGCAAGAGGCCCGATCCTTTTATTAAAAACCAGTCAACAGGGATAGCTTCTGGAGTCGTCCTTGCGCCATCGAGCACGGGTGTTTGAGGTGTGGGTGGGAGAGGAGGGCCCTCTGAGGGAGGCTGCGTTTACCCTAGTTGCTCTTCCTGTGTCTGGGGAAAGGTTTTTGAGGTTTTAAAGGGTTTGATTATCTTTAAAGAAAAAGGTTGCACGCTGCCGGTCTTGTCAGCATTTGTAAGGATTGAAAGCAAAACACACTCAGTTGGAGGCGGAGAAGCCCCAGATGCGCCCCCACCCCCCCACTGCCTGGACCCTCTATCTTGGGCTTCCTTGAATTGGAGCCCGTCTACACTCCTGCCTTCCATTTCCCACCATCAGCTAACCCACACCCTCCGTCAGCGCTAGTTCGCCATCTGCTGAGATGCTTTCTCCTGACCTGGGTCCGTTCGGCTCTGTGTCTTCTTACCGAAGGCTGGTGGAGCAGCAGATTTTGTCCTTCCGTTATTCCAGCTGAATCCCAGAGGTTAGGTAGACATCTACCCCCACGTCAGGTCTACAGCCTCCCCAAGAATCTCCCCTTTCCCTTCATGAGCAGTCACGAACGCAAGGATTCCTCAAAGCCGTTCTTGAACCTGTCCGCTTGCCGGGGTCCTAAGTACCATGGAATTGCAGACCATAGGTACTACCATGGTTTACAAAGGAGCACAATGGTATAAAACCTGGAATTTTGTTCCCACCTGCCATGTTGAGCCTGCAGAGGGAAAATGAAGGATTGTGAAGGAAAGTGAAATGGGATTGATGTTTCTCTACCCACCACTCGGTTCCCACAGTTCCCTACCTCTTGTCATTTATTAACAACATGGCCTGATGATGGCCCCCGACTGCCGATTAGTTATTATCTAAAGACACCAGCTGTCTTCGTTTCTTGGTCACCTGCTCACTGGAGGTGCTGAGATGCCAAATGCTCAAGTGCTGTCTTATTTTGTGGTCTTTAAATTAGCCTACAGTAAAATGGACTTCCTACTTTTGGCGTGCAGTGCTATGGCTTTTATCACATGTGTGGATTCCTGTGACCACCGCAGCGATGGGGATGCAGGACGGTTCCATCACCCCCTCAGATTTCCTGTCTCCTTGCGGCCACACCCTCCTCCCACCCCTGACCCCTGACAACGGCTGATCTGTTCTCCTTTAATATTGTTTTACAATGTGTTCCTTTAATAGGATACGCATCCAGATCATCAGGATGTTCTGAAAGCAATCATAGCATTCAAAACTCTCATGGTAGGTGATGCTCTCAAATTATAATTCTCCGTTTTGTATGCTTTGTTCCTAAGAGAGTGACTTGTGTGTAACGTTTCTTTCCTTATGCAAAGGTCTTTAGAATGGAAACAATAAGCTTTAGCAACAGTATCGCAGTGATTGCTTCATTTAATTTTGTCTTCCAAAAAATCATGCTTACCTATGAAAGGCTGCCAGGCTGAGGGTATAAAGCACTCACATTTGAAGTCTCTGCCACATTAAGCATTGCTGTGTAGGTGGGGGGTTTCCTTTTGTCTCTTTGTCTTTACCCCCGTGTTGTTCACCTTATGTCTGTGTAGCTTGTCATTCACTGATTGGCATCGATACTGGATTCATCTATTTATGCCAAAAGGTGTGAGTTTATTCTTTGCATATGAAAAAGAAATCCTTCGTCAAATCTAAAAGGAGAAAACCTACCAAAATGCAATTGCTTTATATAGATTGCTATCAAAGCTACCTGTAATCTTGTATCTTGAGCGTGATGGTTAATGTCCTCTTGAACCCACTGATGTAAAACCACTTGGTGGCATTTTAGGAGAAAAGACAGTGTTACTTTGGGTGATTGATTAAATTTAGCTTCCTTTTTTAAAAGATTTATTTATTTGTCTGAGAGAGAGCACAAGCGGGAGGGGCAGAGGGAGAAGGAGAGAGAACCTCAAGCAGACTCTGCACTGAGCATGGAGCTGGATGTGGGGCTCAGTCTCACGACTCCAAGATCGTGACCTGAGCCGAAACCCAGAGTCGGGTGCTTAACCAACTGTGCCACCCAGGCACCCCAAGTTTAGCTTCATTTTAGACATTTCTGTAGCATTCCAAGTAGTTGGGATCCACGGTTAGTTATTGAGTCTTGCTGTAAGCTTGTGATGGGACATTCACCATCACCTCATTTTTATTGCTGTCGAAAGATCAGTACCTGATGTGTCCACAGGTAAACAGCAAGTTGAAAACCAGAGTAAGGTATTAGGTTAAAATTGCTGTCGTCGTAGGTCAAAAACAGTTACATGGCTCAACCTAATCGAACGGCCCACTGACACCCATGGCCTTTATGACTCTTTGTGTCCCCTTTATTTTGTCCTATGTAAATTGAATGTAACATTCCTTTTTAAAAAAATAATAGGTCTCTCTGACCATTTTCCACGTTGCGAAGCTTGCTTTGATGGTCATAGTATATTTATTGCCAAGTTTAGATGCTTCACAAATGTGTGTAGAGTGAACTGATGTCCTCCAATTGCCATGTAGCTAAAAGGGGCAGCAGAGATTGTATAGAAAACACACCCCAAAAAAACTATGACATTTATTTGGAAACAGTAACATAACTAACCATATGCTCATTTTCATATTCAACTTGGAATGAATACTGTTAAATTACTCTAAGAAATAACTTCATGCTTTCTGAAGCAGTGATATTTATATATATCGCATTCATATCCCACATATTGTTTCCTGGCTTGTATTTTCCATTTGTATGCGTAAAATTCAGTTGTATCTCTTTTTCACAGTTCTCTTAGGAGTAAAAATTAATTTAGTATTTTTTTCCCCATACCAGTCTACTACTAGTCCCTAAAGTACAGGGCCGTGCTACAGTGAATCAAATCTATCTTATAACGAAGCAAATGCATGGCCCCTGCTACCACTTTATCCTGATGTTTTGGCAAAAGTAGCTCTTCCTCACAAAACCTCTGGCTGGAGAGTTAGGATAGTGGATCTTGCTGTCTGCTGGGGACACATCATGCTGAGGAGTGGGGACTCTGGAAATCTGAAAGTCCAAAACTTCATCTCACTTTAAGTCTTGATTTGGGTCTGTTTCGCAAGAATTCCTAGTCCATTATGTTCTGCTTTGGCTCTGTAGGGGCAGTGCCAAGATCTGAGAAAGAGAAAACAGCTGGAGTTGCAGATACTCTCTGAGCCTATTCAGGCCTGGGAAGGAGAGAGTATTAAAACCTTGGGAAATGTGCTGTTTATGTCACAAGTAATGGTGCAGCAGGGAACGTGCGAGGTAAGACGTTTCAGACCTCAGTGCCATTGCTTCCATCTTTCCTCCTTCCTGTTTTTCTTCTTTGACTTGTCTTTCCGTCAAGGTCAAGTGCTTGAACGTTCAAAGAAACTGAGCAGCTCTTCCTTGTCCAGCACTCTGCTAGGTGCTGCGGGAGATAGGCGAGGGAATCCGCGGTGATCCCTGCCTTCAAGGAATGCCTTGCAAACAGATGGAAACGCAAGCTGCACCTAGCGAACAGACCCAAGTAGTCGGTGTAGCTTGTGCATATCTCCACAGTGGATTCCACAGAAGTTCGGAGAAGGGGGAGAGCAAGAAGACCTTATGGAGCTAGGACTGGAGGAGGAGGGCCACAAAGAAGAAAGGCGAGGATTTTGTAAGGTAGAGGCCATTCTTATCTCAGGAGAGAACAGGAGCGTGGCCTTTTGCCATGGGACAGTGGGGAAGCCAGTCGGTCAGGAGCAGAGGAAGCGTGCTGGGAGAGGGAAAGAGACGGAGGGAGACAGTCGGGTTTTGAGAACCCCAGGCATCGGGCAAGAGCCGTTCAGATCCACACAGCGGGCAGCAGGGAGCTGTTAGAGGCTCAAGTCGTAGAGAAACACCACGAACGGGGAGTTGATGATGCTTAAATCTGACAAGCATGTGCGTCATGGAAACCGGAGGGGAGGGGGCTGGCCACAGAAGGACCAGCTGGGTTGCAAAGTGAGAAGCACCCCCTCCCCCCGCCCACGAAGGTGGCGGAGGAGAAAATAAAACTGCAGGGGGCAAATCTGAGCCCCGGTTAGGGGGGCAAGTGGAGAGGAAGCAGTGACCTGTGGGCTGGAGATGATGGTGTCATCTTAGACCTGTTCACTTGCAGGTAACCAGCCGTAGGTCTCCAGGTGGAGAGATCTTGTAGGCGGCTGTTACTAAGGTAGAGAAACGTGGGAGGGAGGGCAGAGTTGGAGGCAGAGATTTAGCTGTTCCTGACAGATGTGCCTTCCTAGGAAGAAAATATACAGAGAGAGGCACGGAAGGCTGAAGATGGATTATGTCTTTTAGGAAGGGGGAGGAAAGTGGTCAGCCCGCTGAGTGCTGCCGAAGGGTCAGAGGTCAAGGAGTACGGAGAGCAAGAAGAAGCCATTGGATTTCGCTAGAAGGCAGTTATTGATGACTTCGAGAGGGCAGTGGGGCCGCAGTTAGGAAGGAATCAATGGGGAGAACAATGAAGGGAGCAAGTAACTTGGCAAGAGAATGTCAAGGCACAGGGTCCTGGCATACCTAGGAGACACTGGAGGTCCGGTTGCAGATCCCCGCCACAAAGCCAACAGCACAGTGAAGCGAGTCAAATCAAGTTTTCAGTCTTGCGGTGCATGTAAAAGTTTTCTTTACGCTGTCCTGTAGTTTATTAAGCGGGCAATAGCATTATGTCTCAACACAGTACATACCTCCATCAAAAATACTTTATTGCTAAAAAATGCTAACCATCATCGGAGCCTTCAGTGAGTCATAATCACTGATCACCAGAACAAATACAGTAATAGTGAAAAAGCTTGAAATGTGGCAAGAAGTACCAAAACGTGACAGAGATGCAAAGTGAGCAAATGCTGCTAGAAAAATGGTGCCTGTTGGAAAAAATGGTGCCTATAGACTTGCTCCACGCAGGGTTGGCACAGACCTTCAATCGTAAAAAAGGCAGCATCTGCGAAGCGCAGCACAGCGAGGCGGGCCCGTGTTATGAAGAAGGAGCCACAGGGGCCAGTGAAGGACAGGAGATGGGCAGATGGTAAAGGCAAAAGAGAAGAAACTAGCTAAGCAGGAGAGGCTGCTGGAAGGAGAAGGAAGAGATGAAGTGTCTGCAGAAGGAAACCAAGCAAGAGAAAGATGCGAGAGGCTGCAGAGAACTTGCTAGGAGAGTGAGCCTCGAAGGATTGCCCTTCTCAAGTGCAAGGAAGGAGATGGAGAGAGGCATAAGGATCATTGGAGCTAACACGGCTGGGCGCGTAAGCCGAACAGAATTTTTTTGCACCTACTAATCGCCTATCTGTTTAAGGGGTTCAGAGAAGCCCTCCTGTGTGAAATTTCCTTTCATGCCATTTTCAGAAAGTATTTACTTCTTCCCATTGCATGGGTCCGATAGTTATCTTGTTCTTACCGATTAAAAGTAGTTTTATGAATAAGAATTTAATACACATGCTAGAGCATAGGAGACTTACTATCGCCTGAAAGCCCCTTCTGTTTTGCTCCTTTTCAAAGTAAAATCATTTTCATTTTGTGACCCGAGAGCTTTGTGCCTTGGCATGAACCCTGTGACGTCTCAGGCGTGCGTACTTGGGAACGAAGCATGGTTATTTGTATCTAACTGTTATGTAGAGGAAGAAGAGAGATAAACCGTGGGTTTGTACTCCTTTCAAAGCAAAATTCAACTAGTTTGGTGCTTTGAGGTTGGGTATCTTTCTTAAAAGGTCACTGTTCGTGTTTCGTTGCCTCACAAGCTCTCTGTTACATAACAGTGACTCCTGAAAATCTTAACAAATAAAATGTCCACTCGCTGTTCTCCGCTTAGCGTGTTTCATTTCACTTTAGGAAAAAGAGGAGCGGTACCTCCTGTTGTTCTCAAGTGTCTTGATAATGTTATCTGCAAGTCCTCGGATGAGTGGCTTTATCTATCAGGTTAGTAGATTTCATATAAAGCAAATAGCAGGACCCAGAATGAAAACAGGTTTCCATCCAGATGCAATATTTCCACTATGGCATTAAAAGCTCCAGCCAGAGAACACAGTGTTCTGACCCTTTGTTGTAATTAAACGGCTTATAAGAACAGATGTTCCTTAGATCAGAAACCTTTATATTGCTGTAATGAGTTTATCTTCAATGTCCACTGCTCTGGTTGTGAGCTAGGTTATGAATGTTTAAATAGAACTCTAAGTCTGCAAGCGGATAAATTAGCAGCCACGTTTCACGGGCTCATCTCATATCATTATTGCTGAGAAGCTATAAAGCTGGGACCCACTCCTGTGACTGTCTGGTCGCAGTCATATCACATGATTCGGGGTTCGGAGGTGCAAGTCGTGAAACTCCTTAGGAAGTTAAACTTCCTTCAGCCTGCTCCCCAAATGTGGAGGGCTGTGAGTTATGGTTGCCTGTTATATCTGGCATAGCAATTACTGATTTTCGTAAAATTGGACTTTTTTTTTTTTTTTTTGAGTCTTTACTTTGTTGACTGAGTCTCCTGCAAATGTGTTAGAAAAAAGTAAGCTGTTTGTAAATCTCCACCGTATGGTTTAGGGCGTGTTAGCAAAACACAACCCATATTTCCCCCTTGCTTTCTTGTCTAATTAAAATTGAAAGCAGGGAAACATACTATCTATTGACAGGCCAGAGAAATCTGTCTAGCCGTCATTCAGCAGGGATTCCTGAGAGGGTCAGAAAAATCTAATAGACATAAGCAGAGGTGCATATAACCACAGAATTAATGGGAATGTTCTTTTTCCGATAGGGAAAAATACCAGTAGCAGGAATGGTGGTGACTAGATTAGATGAAATCGAAGGGAATGACAACGCATTTGAAATCACAGGTAGGTAATTTTCTCTTTTTTCAAGTAGCTACTTGAAATCCTTTTTGAGACAAAGTGGGATTTGAATAAATAAATGCCATTATTTTCTGTGATAAGGCTATGAGTGAGCTTTACCTGGGCACGGCCTAGTATGTTGGCTCTCCCGGGATAATTAGGGTCCAGCGATAGAACAGTCTCCTGGTCACTCAGAAGCCTTGGCTTTGCCATTAGTTTCAATCTCTTCTTGCCTAAGAGAGCCACTTGTTGGGACTCAGAAATAACAAATCGGACTGATGTAAATGCACAAACCAAGCAAAATGCCAGGCCTGACCTCTCGGCCTGGGATCCCTTTTGCCAGGCCTGTGTGATTTCCACGTTTTGCACGGACACAGAACAGTGGCTGACACTGGGATGTTGGCCCCGGGGCCTTACCCCCTTCTTCCCCAGTAGGGAGCCCGAGATTAGATGTTGATTCAACTTTGAATAGTGTCTGAGGCACTACAACAGTATTCTCATGGTAGGCTGTGAACACGATGGGCTCTGTCCTTCACTTTTTGCCCTGTGAGTTTGTTTAAAGTTTTAGACTCCTTTCCTCAGATTCTGTAAGCAGTAGAAGTCAAGGACAGCTTTAGAAATCAGATACAGGTATGTATTTCCTGACTTCATGACCTGTCCCCGACATAGACGTCTCCACAGGGTTAGCCCCTAGGTGTGAACCCTCCTTAAAAACAGACACCCGAGTCTTAGTTGCGTTGAGTCTGTTTATGAAGGAGGCGAGCTCAGGCTTCTGCTCGCTCTTGTTTCCAAATGCTCCCCGACGGGCGATGCAGGTAATGTAGAGAGAACCGTGATCCACTGCAGCAGCAACCAGGACTTGCAGGAGTGGCTGGAGCAGCTCTGCCGACTGATCCGGGGGCCCGCCTCCTGCAGTTCGTTATCCAAGACCTCGTCATCATCTTGCAGCGGTCATTCCGTAAGTGGTCCACTCGCGCTGTCCGGGGATTGTTGAGGCTCTCGTCAGACCTGCCTGCAGAGGACTTATGAGAAGCAGTGAGCATGCCCTTAGTCTTCAGCTCATCTATATTTGTAGGCTTCAAAGTACAGTAAAACCTCTCGAATTCTCATTTCTTGTTTTGGAGGGAGACCCATCCAAATTAAGACAAAGGTGTACCAAGAGGTGTGCACTTTTGTTTGACAGTATTAAGGGACTCCCCCGCCCCGACTGCCGGCAAAGTTTTTCTCATCACAAGTCCCGCTAAGATATTTCAGTGATACACGAAATTCATTTTAATTAGCGACCGTTAGTCTCCTTTTCATTGTATGCTGAGTCAAAACACAGAGTTTCCCTTCCCCATTACTTAAGCCCCGCCATGCAATCTCATCGATGCTACCACATTCACTAGGTCACCTTCGAGGGTAAACTTTCAGCGTTGCCTTCTTCTGAGTTATCGCAACTTTGGAATTCCTGGAATTGGAATCAATGAGATTTTACCGTACTTGCTGAGTGAGAGTGAAGGTTGCCGTGTTGTCTGTTAACACTCAAACTGGTGATGCCAAAACTCCAGTCTCAAGCACTGTGTGTTGTGGTGGGAAGAACGAGGGCTTTGGCATCAGACCTGAGTTCAAATCTTGGCTTTGTCAGTCGCCAGCTAGTTACTTTGCTGAGGTTTGTCTTTGGTTGTTCCGCTGAAATAACCTATTTTGGCACCTAGTCGAGCGCCCAACGCGTGACTGAACCCATTCAGTCTTGACTCTGCTTTCCTCTCTTCTAAAGGAAAGCCACCCCTGGCTTGAGTGAAATTCTAGAAGAGAGAGGGAAGACAGGATCATAGGATTTTGAGTCAATGTGGTGCTGTTCCTTAGAGACCCCATAAGCCGGACTGGAAAGTGCCAGTTCTCAAACTGGAGACTTTTGTTTGCCCACCTTTCCTTCTCTATGGCTGGCTTTGCTGATCCAATGACACTGTTGCTGTTCTCTCGCCGTGTGGCCCAAGGTCGGGTTCAGATGGCAGATTGCCAACATCTCATCAGACATTTTCCCAGTCTTTTAGCTCTACCGGACAGCCCCGAGGACCCCTGGAACCTCCTCAAATTATAAAACCGTGGAGTTTAAGTTGTCTACGACCTGCACCTCCACTTAGACCATCAGCAGCACTAGGTTATAAAGAGGTAATTTTGCTACCTATGGTATAAAATGCTTCCGACAAGCTCATTTCATAGCTCATTACAAATAGTTCTGTGGCAATGTGCTAGAATTTATGCTAGGGGATAGATGTCAGTCACTTGTGAATTGTTAGACTCAGGGATTTCTTATTTTTTAATTTCCCGTTTCTCCAGTGTCCCTCTACAGATATTTATCAAATATCCACAGGGTTTATGTGCACTGCCTGAGTTCCCTGGTCCCCTCCTAAAGTGCCTCTGCTTCACCTTTCTGATGACACGACAGTTGTATACTTTGGTAATCACATCCACACGTCTCAAACAAGAGCCACTTCATTCGACCTGAATTTCCACCCAAGCAGACCCAATTCTGCATTTTTGGATCATTTTGATCTATTAAGCCAAACCAGGAAAGTCATATGGGACCAGGCCATGAGTCTGAACTCTGAGGGCCTGGACTTTTTGTTGCAGTTGGGAAGGGAAAAGAATTTAATGAAAAGAAGGTCTTTTAAGCAGAGGCTTTTAGGCAACAACCTTAAAGGGCATTGGATATTTGGGTAGTGTGGGCACTTGAAGGTTCTTTCTATTTTTTCCTGAAAGTTGCAGTCAGGAAATGTCAGTCACTCGCTCCTGTGATTGTGGAGTGTTACTTTTTCCATCCAAACAGTGTTTTTAATTTTTTTTTCCCTTAAGCTGTTTCTCATCATTTCAGCTTTCAGTAAAGAGCCTCATTTATTAGGAACTCTTCTTTACCTAGGTCTTACCGAGTGAAGGTTTAAGTCCGTGACGGTTATGAGGCGCATCTTAGAATTAGGGGGCAAAGACAGCATATGTTTCTATTTCGAACATGTGTTTTGATGCGTGACACAGATGTAGCTCAATTTTAAATTTGTCCCGATCTCAAACACCATGCTGCTGTTTTGATTAATTGTTGCCTCCGAGTGCAGTAAAAATAAAACAGTCTTTGGACACCGGAGGATTTTTTGATCGTTTCAGCTGGGCACGACAGAAGAAATAATGCTCGAGCTGAATCCTTATTATGTACCTCTGTCCAGAATTGGGCCAGGAAATAGTTCCACAGGTTTGCTTTGGGAATCGACCAGTGATACCCACAGGCATCCAATTTTCTTCTCTGATTACGTAAACCAGGAGTGCCACGTCATAGTTACCTGGGTCCCCTTTTTAACGATGGATATTTTGTACTTGTCAGTTACTAAGTTCAAATGCAGGTGAGCCTTGAAGGGTAAAGTTGACTTAATCCTTCACAGAACTAATCCATTAAAACTAAGGCATGATCATGTTGTTTCCGCTGGGAGAAGAGAGTTATTAATATATTCTTACTGCATAGTGTGTATTTCGGTTATTTTCAGTATTTGTTATTCCGCACAGAACTGTATTCCCTGGGCTTTTGCATGATGATATTGCATCTGAGACTAATGTGGGAAACATGATGATATTCTCTCTGTGTAATTGATGATAACACTAACATTTCAAATGTTGTTTTAGAATTATTGATAAATGGATTTGGTCATTATAACCATCGACCTCTCACGCTCATCTTCTCTTTCTTTACATATTCACTTTAGAGGATGTCTTATATCTTAAAGGTAAGGGTAGAACAATATCTTTGGCTTACAGTGACATCATAATGCTGTGCTGTAACCTTTGATGATTGAAGCTTTCCTTTATGCTTGTTTTGTCCCTTGTTCTAATTGGTGGCTAAAATGTGAAGATGCAAATCTGACATGTAAGTACTTTCTTCAAAAAAGCAGGCTCTTGTGAAATACGTTTGAAAACGTCGTCTTAGATGCCCTAAAAATGCCCGTTTTTCCTTGTGTGTGTGTGTTTTTTTAATGCTGTTTTTCCTGTTCTTTTTGTCACGTGTGAGTTTTCCATGTCTGTCTGTTTTCAAGTAAGTCTAAGTGGGTCACTGTGGCTAAGTGGAAGAAATTAAATTCTTTGTTCCGTATATTTTAAGGTACTAATTATTATTCATACATCACATATATGCATCGCATGGGAGATTGGGAGAAGAATGGTCACCAGGGTCTAAGATTCTAATCCGTTTACTTGGATACCTGATAATGGGCACTGGTTATTCAGATGGCAGAAGCAAATTCAATAATTCATGGCTCTTTTATCGCCTAATTAAAAATATGGCTTTATATATGTATAGTTAAGCTTAGGTCTACACCCGTGACTCCTGACCCTGAGTTATTTATCCGGAGATCCCTCATTTGGCTCTTCTCCCTGACTTCAGGGAAAGTATTAGGTCCCCCTGCCTTAATTTTCCCATCTGACAAATGGAAATTAATATTTTTCTATGGGGGACTGTTGCTAAGGAAAATGTATTTAAACCGCTTTGAAGCTCTTTGAAAAGCAATATGTACTACAGTTGTTACTTAATTCCCTTAAAACCGTATCAGTGAGGACTATAAACCACGTTAGGAATACGGTTATTTCCCTAGGATCAACACCCACTACTTTCACTACAGATGGCTCCTGTCCCTATGGCAATGGAGAGGACAATGTCATTGCCTCTGTTTTATGTAAGCTTTTAGAGTTTATTGGAGCCACTTTTATTGTGTACGTTATTAAATTTTGATGCACTCTGGAAACTGTCAAAATAAGAGAGAGCCATTCGGTTTAATTTCATTTGCTATTTTTAATTTGTTTTCGGGGGGAGAATTCTAATTCATAAAGAAACCTCTATCCTTACAGGAGTCTAGTAAGAGCCCCAAAACAATGAAGAAGTTTCTTCACAAAAGAAAGACAGAAAGAAAGCCATCGGAGGAGGAATATGTGATTCGGAAAAGTATGTGTTTTATACTTTTTTTTTTAAAGATTTTATTTATTTATTTGACAGAGAGAGACACAGCGAGAGGGGGAACACAAGCAGAGGGAGTGGGAGAGGGAGAAGCAGGCCTCCCGCGGAGCAGGGAGCCCGATGCGCGGCTCGATCCCAGGACCCCAGGACCACGACCCGAGCCGAAGGCAGACGCCTAACGACTGAGCCACCCAGGCGCCATGTGTTTTATACTTTTTGACGGTCAGCTATGGATGAGCTAGCAGAAGAATTTTGTTGGAAGCAGATGATGAGAGTAGTTTGTCCTCTGTATCACCTGTTACACAAAGAAAAATGCACGCATTCTAGGGTTTGGTCACCTCTAAGCTTTTTGAACGAGCTGCCTCCCACTGCACTTCATGTGATCTGAGCCAAACGCCCTCCGTATGATCATCGCGTTGAAGATTTTGCCCTGCCTGGTTGAGAACCACTAAAGGGCCACGTCTGCTATGGATGCATTTTTTCTCCCTTAGTTTCTGATGCCCAAGATGTTTTCCCCTACTGAGATAGACTAAACAGACCTGAAGGCTGAAATCCTTCTGGAAATTTAATGCTCAGTGACGTTCCCAGTTAGCCAAGGTATCAGCCTGCTGCCGTGTAGAAACGGCTTGATTCCCAGGCGGACTGCAGAGTCGGTTGGCCAGTCCGTATGTGTGCATTGGCCTCTATGGCTGGGACCGAGGTACTTTGGGACACACATGAAGGAGTAAGGGATGCCTCCTCAGTGTCTCAGCCAAAAATACAGTCTGGAGAAATCTTTGCCGGACTCCAGCTTCTGCATAGCCCAGCCCGCCCCTGGGTGCGCGCATCAGCCCTCTAGCAGGGTTCCATCCCCCAGTCCTTTCCAGAACGAGTTGGAGAGGGAGAGGGAGGAGGGGAGAATCAATGACTCTGCTGGCTGCTTGGAAAAAATGGGTGGGGTCTACGGGGGAAAGCCTCCTAGAGAAGGGGAGCCTTACAATTTGGAGGGGAGGCAGGTTGTGGTGTATTTCGGGTGAGAACCGAGGCTAGGGCCACGCCCACCGCGGTCATCGTGGCCCCTCGGAGTCTTAGTAGAAGCCCCCAAACGATGAAAAAGTTTCCTCAGCAAAGAAAAATGGAAAGAAAGCGGCCAGAGGAGGCTTTCCAGTGAGGGAAGCCAGCCCCCAGCAGCGGAGTGCACCGCGTCATCTCGAGGGTCCAGGGCAGATTTGTCTCCGCAAAGTCCTCATTCCTTAAATCCGACAGGTACCGCTGCTCTGGAAGAGGATGCGCAGATCCTTAAAGTGATCGAAGCGTACTGCACCAGCGCAAATTTCCAACAAGGCCACGGCTCAAGTAGGTTCCCTCCCAGACCACTTTCTCTAATGAACGCTCTTTCTTTCTGACTGCTCAGCGCCTCTTTGAAAAAAGAGAAAAGCAGGTGACCGGGTGCAGAGGAGTGCTTCAGAACTGCATCTTTCCGATAAGGTGCTTTGAGCTGCCAGGCGGTTTGTTTACCCGCTGTTTCTTTTCACCCAGAGAGAAAGAGAGACGCAAGAGTAAAAAAGTTGGAGGTGATAGAAATGAGAAAAAAAAAAAGAAGATTTTTTTTTTTTTTTTTAAAGCCCTTCTCCTTTGAAGTACACAGATACCTTCACCAGCACTAGTTAGGAATTAAAGAGCCCAGAGAGTTCCTGTGTCTGTGAACTGATGCTAATCTCTTCTCATAGGCAGATTTGGAAAGGAAGTCACAATACTATCTTTGATCAGCTGCATATTTAAGCGAACAGTGCTTCACCCAGCTCAGGTTTCAAAGTTGCTCTGAAAATCTGGAAATGTAGCTGCTCAGCAGGGGCCGTTTGGAATGTGTGCAGTTTACAGGGAGCTACCAGGGAAGGGCACCCCCCCACGACCACCTCCCAGCACCTTTCAGGCTACAAACTGAAAGCCAGATGAGGTTTTTCTGATTGCTCCTTGAGCTTTTTAAAAAACCAGGTCGCATCAGTTCTGTCTTGTCTGCCGTGATTGCAGACATTCAGGAGACCTGGTGCAAGGTGTTTGCATCTGCAGAAGAAGTGAGTTCTCCCTGTTGGACAGCTAATGACCAATCACTTGAGTAGGGGTGGGGATCGCTTGGGCTGATGGCCTTGACCGATGCCTTCAAAGTAACATGTCCCCAAGGCTGGCGTGAGGAAAACATTTGATGTCAGACTTGACACATTTGACCGTGAAGAGAGGACTATCCTACGTTCTGCTTCACAGACAGATCTTGGCTCTGAGAACAAGTTTCGAGGAGGCAGGAATGGAAAGTGAGAGCAGTTCGGGGCGTGAAAACTAGGAAAGAGAGGGGGACAGGGAGACACCAGAAGAAGCATCCCTCATACAAAACATGACCTCATCTGCTCCCTGAACCTGCTCTCTTCACATCGACAGCGTCCGCAGATCTGTAGGAGGTGGAGGCAGTGTTTCCGCCCCTCCTGCCTAGCCTGCCCCTGACACGTGGCAAGTGTCTAGCATCATGGCGGCCTCCCATCCTCTGTCCCTCTCTCCAGCCAGAAGTCCTGTTTCCCGGGGAATTGAGTGCATTTAACCAGTCAGTTGGTCAGTCTGCAGCCTACTTAGTAAGCACCCACGGAGTGCTGGGCCCTGTGGAAGGCAGAGACACCACCACCTCAGCAAGGGGGAGGCGGTGAGTGCACACAACTCGAAGATTCAAGATTAAGGGCTCAAGCTCCAAGAGGAAGGATCCAGAAGTGAGGGGGGGGTTGGAGGTGCAGGAGAGCTCTTTGGTCCGGTCCCTTGTCTCTTCTGTCACCTCTTCCATCCCCAGAGCCTGGAGAGAGTCTGAGCAGAGCCATAAACATGCCCACGTCTTTGTGCTGATGTGGTAACGCCCACCCCCTGCTCCACCTTTGACTGGAATGGACTTCACTGACAAAATGCCCCCCACCCTGGCCAAAATCGAATCGATGTATTTGTCTATTTTCTCACATCAGGAAGATTTAGTCAGCAAATGTTGGATGACTGTTCTCTGGGTGCAGGGCAGCAATGTGCCATCAACAAAGACCCCTCAGTGACAATAGTAGAAGGGGCCAACACCTAGAGTAGTCTCGGGTGACCCTCCTCTCGCAACCCTTGTTTGTAGGTGCGCGCAAAGATTCGCTCCCACAAGTCTTACTCCCCGAGGAGGAGAAACTCATCATTGAAGAAACCAGGAGCAATGGCCAGACTATCATCGAAGAAAAGTGAGTAGAGTGGGCTACCTTTTCTGATTTGTCTGGGGGCTGGAAAAGTGCGTCTCTTGCAAAGCCTGCACTGAAGGACAGTCCCTCCTTCTCTGGGAATATAGCCCTGTTTGCTCTCACACAGTTGGGACCTGTGAGAGGGCTGCTCCCCAACAAGGGGAAGTGGGGAGGGGAGGCAGAGGGGGTGGAACTCTCTGCATGGTGGCTCCCCCACACGGGAAGGTGCTCTAGGGTACGCAAGAATAGCACTCCAGATGGGTCTAGGTGGCACTTGGGAAGGCGACAGCACCAGTTTCCATGGCCAGAGGGTTGCTTCTCACATTTACTGAGTCAAACCCTGGACTTTCACATACTTGACCTATTTAGAATCCTACAGAAACCCAGCGAGATAAGCATTACTTTCACCACTTCTATTGAAGTTGAGGCTCAGGGAAATGATGTTCCGGAGGTCTACCTTTGCACACTAGTGAGGGTGACCCAATGGGGGAAAATCAGGTTAAGTACCTATGGGCTCATAAAATAAATACAAAGTAGCCAAATAATTCATTTGTTTAAACTTGAGTCATTTCTGAAGTCAGGCCTAAATTTGCATAGGATAGCATATTTTGAAGTGCTCGACATCGTCAATGTATTTTTCCATCTGGTATATGAAGTGATGTGGCAAAATGGTAAAGCCCTTGGGCTTAAGAGAACAGCCCTGGTTCAAGTCCAAATTCTGCATCGTGTTAGCTGTGTGACATGGGGGCCAGCCTCTTTACCGCTCCGTGCCTCGGTTTCCCCATCCGTAAATGGGTATGATAGTAATACTTTAAGGTTTGTGGTGGGGTTAAATGGAAGAATAAGTATAAAGGCTGGCACATGGTCATCACTCAGTAAATGATAACAGTTGTAATAATAATTGTTATAATAGCTATATTAATCCCCACAACAACTTTGTGAGGCTTGCGGGGAATGTGGTATTATTGCCATTTTGTATGTGAAGAAAGTCAGACAAGGAGAGGAGGAGAAAGAAACTGGTTACCCAAGGTTGGAGGACTGGTAAGTGGGAGGATCCAACCTGGAACCCGGATCTCCAGAGTTCTTGTCCAGGGAGAGAGCCATCTGAGAAGTAACTGTCCCATGACTCAGCCAGGGCACTTTATCCTCTTTTGGGACAGATGGGATCTTCCAGAAAGAATGCTCCTGACTTTGTGTCATGTAGGGTCATGTAGGGTCGGAGATATCATAAGGTAGGCAGGTCTCATGACACCCCACATTACATGTTAGGTGATGTTCGTTCCTGCCCCAAAGGAAGAATCAAAACTTTATGATGAGCCCAAGTCTCTCTTTTTTTGTACTCTCCCAAGCTGGGAAGCAAGCGGCCAAGGAGGAGGGCAGTATAGAAAAGGTGCCATGACATGGCATTCGAATGACCACGTGTGCTGGTGGTTGTTTGCCCCTGAAAATAGGGACCATGGGGACCGTTCACAGCAGTGTCTCTCCCGACCAGCTAGAAAGTCCACTGCTCTTCAGGAGCTGTAGTTCTCGAAAGCTGCTTTTATGGTTAAGTTTTTCTTAATAGTATTTCAGTGCCGGCTCTTAATCTCTGAAATTTATGTTCTAGGAGTCTGGTCGACACTGTGTATGCCTTGAAGGATGAGGTCAAAGAACTGAAACAGGTAATGAAATAGAAAAGTCATTTTCTTGGGTCACATAACAGGAACAAGGTGGTGAGGTGGGGATTTTTCTTGTGTCTTCATGGTGGGTTTTGTTGATTTTACCACGTGGTCTTGGCTTTAAATTTCTCAGGATTGCTCATATACCTATTTAGCAGTTTACAATAGGGTCCCATACTTAGTTACAACTTTCATGCTCTCTGACATTTGTGAACAGATTGTTAACAAAGATAAGTCATCCCTGAGTGTGTGAGTGTAAAGAGAACCGTAAATCTTGATTTGTGGGATCCTCTGCAGATGTGATCCAGTGCTCCATGATGCACACTCTTCCTGGTGTTTGGGGACTGGCTGTACCTGGTGACGGGGGAAAGGATGGACTGGAGGGGGGAGAACAGAGACTGGAAGACCACTTGGGAGGTTATCACAAAACTCAGGGTGAGACACGATGGAGTTCTGAACTGAGGCAGTGCCATTGAGGCTGTAGAGAGAGGAAAATGAACGTAAAGGAAGGCACATCGCAGGGGTAGAGCCTGTGGAAAATGATGCTGTGATGTTGGGATTAAGAGGGAGAGCCAGGGATTGAAGATGAAGCTTTTTACGTGGGTATCTAGTTTGACAGGGTGGTGCCCTTCATGGAGATCAGGAGCCACAGGAGGAAGAGAAGTTTGGGGTGACGGTGGAGACACTGAGTTCATTTTAGGACATAATGAGTTTGAGGTGCTTGTAAATATCAAGTTGACACTGGGGACTGTGGACCTAGTGCTCGTGAGATGAGGTCAAGTGTCAGAGGGACTCGGGAGGCCCCTGAGTTGAGTTGAGGGAGAAGAGACACTAAGTGAAAAGAGAGCTGAGTTGGAAGAGGGCCCAGGCCAGAGCCATAGAGGACGCTTACACTGCAAGCAAGAAGAATGCAAAGACTCGACCAGAGAGGGGTCAGAGAGGCAGGGGGCTGCCTTGTCTCAGAAGCTGAGCGAAAGGAGCCTGAGGAAGGAAAGTACAGTCAGTGGTGAAGGCTGCTAAAAGGATGAGCAGGAGGAGCCCTGGGAAGGCGCTCCTTGGTTGGGGAATTAACAAGTCTTTTGCCATCACAGGAAAATAAAAGAATGAAGCAATGCCTGGAAGAAGAATTGAAATCAAGAAGGGACCTAGAAAAGCTGGTCCGGAGGCTGTTGAAGCAGACTGATGAGTGTATTCGGGCCGAGTCCAGTAGCAAGACCTCCATTCTTCCATAACCATCACTGTGCAGCTGGGCACACGTGCCTCCGGGGTTATCTCAAAATGTCCAGCTGAATGATTCGTTTGATCACTTCCTTGGTTTTTATTTTGTACCTGAGTTAGTCTTTCTCTCTCTCTCTCCCGCTCTCTCTCTTTCTCTGTCTTTCTGTTTGCTTGAGTGTTTGTTGTCGTTCGGTTATTGGTTGTTTTCTTTTTGACTGGGGTAAAAGCGAGAGGTGGTGGTGGAAGTCTCCCCAGAGTCTTTTCCATTTAATAAGAAAAGGACAACTAGTATAGGCAAATGACTTAAATGGTCTTCAGATGGCCTTCAATTCATAGTGCCTCTTCACCAGCCATTACCTTCCTCCCTGCCCCGCCCTGTCCCGTCACTCTTTTGGGGCTGGCTGCCATATCAGAGTGGCTGGCCATGGCTTAGTAAATGTGAACTTGACTTTTTCTCTCATGCTTTCTTGTATCTGGAAGGCCCTCAGTACCCAGTTTAAGGAGGGCAAAGCTCCTTGAGCTATGACTAGGGTAGGATGAATGGAAGACTAGCACATTTGCCCAGTGACCCAGCCACCCTGCCCTGACTATCATGTGCCACCCCTCAATGCACACTTTTTATTTTAATTACTGCCCTGTGTTGTCTATAAGGCCAAGAAAACAGTAGCACCCTTATTCCTTTTGTGTGGGTTTACATTTTAACTCTGTGGGGCAGAAGCTCCGGTCACCCCCGCCAGTACCAGACCCATTAGCAAATTGCACTAGACAATCTTCCCCTTCAGCTGCAGAGTTGACCATCCCTGCCCAGTGCATGATAGGTTTTCCCCCCTAACCGTCTGCCTCGTGTGTAAGTTTTCTATTTCCCCAGTGCTTTCAGCCAACCGTACGAAGCGGTGTGTAAACTAGTATGTGTGCACTTTGCTTACTTTTTTGAAAATATAGACTGTGAGCAGTTACTTCATCTACATTGCATATTCAACATGTGACTTCTCATCCTTTAAAACAATCTGCATTGAGGAGATATCGTGCCCTAGTAGACCGCTTTAATTCACTCTATCGCTCTGTGCAGTGAGAAGCTGTAATATTCATCAGCCTCTTTGAGTAGGACTTGAAGCATTATTTGCAGAAATGTGCTGTTGGTCCAGTTTGCATATCCAGAAAGAAGGGACCCCTCTAGTGGTCGTGTGCTGGTTGCTAGCGAAGCTCAGTATTTGGAACTGGTCTACTAACGTTGCTCATTGAATCAAACGATCACCTTTGTAAGTGTCTCCAAAATTAGAACTGTGGTAAACCAGGTTTAGAAGAGGGTCCCAGAAGAACAAAACACATCCAAATTCGGCACAAATGAAAGTCGGCACAAGGCTCCAGGACAGAGCAGTGCAACCTGCCCCTCTCTCTCCCCAAGACAGGTGCAATTGGGCAGGTGGGGTAGATCACTGGAAAGAGAGGCAAAGGGCCAATGGACTGGTCAAGGTTGTCTACCAGATACATTTGATGGGTGCCTATAAATGTGGGTTTTGCAAATGGTGTTTAGAAACCACACTTGAAGCTTGAATCCCCCAGCTTGCTAAGCTCTTTTTCTTTCTAGTATTGGGGGGGGGGTCTCAAGTTCCCATAGCTACACGGTACAGGGCTATTGACTGCTTGCTGCACAGGAAGGGCTCCCCACAGGAAGAGGATGATTCCACAGTCCGCCATCAGCCAACCACACACAGCCATCTTTGGAAGCTCAAGAGTGAAGAAGATTTCTAGAAATGGCTGTTGTTCTGTTTTTAAGCCCAACAGCTTAGATATGCCGTCCTTCACCTAAAAATTAACAACAACCACACAGATCTGAGCATCTGCCCCGCCTGTGGTTAATCAATGGCTTGAAGTAAATGCGCAAACTACATCCATAGGGAACATTTTTGTGATTACAAAATAGTTGATAAGGTATAGGATTGCTTATAATATTGAAAGGTCTTTATTTTAAAGCAACGTGTACATATGCATGTTTTTGGAACTTGGCCCTTCTGAGGAGAGGCCCTCGGTACTCAGAGTGGTGTCCGCGCTCACATATTAAGCAGTAATGTAAAGGAAATGAAGCCATGTTAACCCGAGAGCAGTGTCTCCATAGTTGTGTTGTTTACAACACTCTGTAAGTGGGTTCCTGTTACCCTGTAATTAAACTGCTGCCCTTAGAGGCTTTTTACTTCCTCTTCTGTCATGTCCCTTCTTACACAAGCTCAAATTTTCTAACTTGTTTTTATTTTGAAGACTTTTAAAATGGACATTTTCAATAAATAAGAATAACAATGCTTTATAAACTAAGTCCCGTGTTTTCTTTGCTAGCCAGTGTGCAGAAGGATTTCTCACGCAGTGGCAGCTTCCTCCCCCATGTACTCATTAGCCATCCGCTCTCATCGGGTCCCCTGGCCGCCTTCCACCTGTTTCCGTCAGGGCAGGTGATATTTGCTCCCCACTTTACAGTGATAATTCATGCCACAAGACAGAACCTTCCTTAACTTCTCCACCCCTGTCCTTCAGGTCCCAACCTATGGACTGTTTGTACACCATTTTCTGTCCAATATCAGGATTTTGTCAACCAGTGATAGCCTACATTTTGACCACAGTTGGAATGCTGGTATCAGCTGTCAAGATGAAAATCCACCTCGAGACAGATGTGCTGGATATTATCTGTTGTTACTCAGCATCCCCTCCTACCCTTTTTGTGTTTCTCCTTGGAAGCCTAAAGAAAAGAAAAAAAAAAAAAAAAACACCTATCTCAGACTCCCTTGCAGCTAGGGTTCTCTATACAATGTGGGTTCTGATACATTTTCAGTTCTGCCAATGAGATGCCTTTGCACAATGTTTGGAAGGCTCACGTTAGGCAGAGGACATCTTCCTGGGCTTGGTGGCTGGCGGGCAGTTCCAGAGATGTGTTTGTGGCTTCCGTACTCTAGCTTCCAGTGTGTCCACTCACAGCTTTGTGCGTGGGAGATTGTCATGGCAGCGGTGGTGGAGCAGAAACTTCCTGAACTAGATTTGGGTCACAACTACAATAAAATGACCTTGAAGCCATTAGTCCAATGGAAGCCCCCTGACTTCCACTTCTGTTGCCAACAATTTTGTAGGCACCGAGTATTACCTTTCTGCTTGGGATGCCTTTGGCAGTTTATGTTTCCTACTCTGAAGCAGTAGATACAGTATCACACCTCCATGTGCTAGGCTCTATCGCAAGTGTTTTATATGGCTGAGCTCACAAAACCCTCACAACCACCCTATGAGGTATTGGTTAGCCCCATCTTACAAAGGAACAGAGGCACAGATGTTGAACAAGATGCTAGTATGTGTGGAGCTGGGATTCGAAGCCCTGGTCTGTCCAGCTCTGGGATCCGTGCTCTTTCCACCATGCTTTCTCCTCTGTACTTGGCACCTGCTAAGTAGGCTACTATCTCAGCCACCTACTCTCGTGAAGTCACTAATGAGCTCTTAATTGAAGAATCCAGGGAACACTTTTCAATTCCTATCTTGACATCTCCACGTTATTTGACCCTCTCCTCCTTGATAAATCTCTCCTTCCTTGGCTTTCCTGATCCCAACTTTTCTGACATTCATTCAACCTTTCTGACCACCCCTGTCTTCTTTGCTGGCTCCACCTCCTTTGCCTGTCCCTTGAACATTTGCTGATCCTCGACACTTTTCTTCTTCTCTTCCTTTCTATGGCCTCTTCCTGGACAACCTCGTGTACTCCTATAACTTCATTGATCAAAATGCAGATGATTCCCATGTCCATAGTTTTCCATCCTGATCTTTCTCCTGAGCTCCAGACCCATGGATGCAGCTACTTCCTAGACAGTCTCAACTTGGATGTCCTACAGCACCTCAAACTCAACATGTCCAAAACTGGACTCCTCATTTTTATTCCCAGATCTGCTCCTCCAATGTTTCCCATCCCAGTGAACAGCACCCCTGGCACTTCGTTGCCCCAGTCAGGAAAATGGGCATGATCCTCTGCTCCATCCTCTCCCTCAACCCTGTATAAATTTATAACCCTTTATAAGTCCAGTCATCCAGTCTTAACATTTTTAACAATGTTGTGTCTCCTGAATTCCTCTCCGTCCTCTTGACCATCACCTGTTTTTGGCACCTGTCATCTCTCCCTCGGACTAATGCGTCTCCTTGCCTCTTGGGCCACCTTCTCTAGTCTGTCCTTTTTGGTGCCAGTAGCATGCTTACCTAAGAGGTCAGTGTCATTCATCTGTTTAAAAATTTAATCTCTTGGGCGCCTGGGTGGCTCAGTTGGTTAAGCGACTGCTTTCAGCTCAGGTCATGATCCTGGAGTCCCGGGATCGAGTCCCGCATCGGGCTCCCTGCTCGGCAGGGATTCTGCTTCTCCCTCTGACCCTCCCCCCTCTCATGTGCTCTCTCTCATTCTCTCTCTCTCAAATAAATAAATAAAATCTTAAAAACAAAAATTTAATCTCTTGCTACTCACCACCACACAGTAAAATTTAATCTCCATGAATTTCTCTTAAGTCCTGTAATATGCCTTTTGCCCTGCCTAAAATCCCTTTCCCATCCCTGTCCATCAAGCAAATTCTTTCCTTTCCATTTAGAGTCAGCTCAAGTATCGATGTGAACTCATGACTTCTAAAATGCATTGTATATATGTGTGTCTCTGCATGTGTATGTGTACATGTATATGTATGCACTATGAATGTTTGTATGTATTAAGATTGCCAGATAAAATACAAGATGCTCAGTTAAATTTGAATTTCAGCTGGGTGCCTGGGTGGCTCAGCCAGTACAACATGCAACTCTTGATCTTGGGGTCTTGAGTCCAAACCCCACGTTGGGTTTAGAGCTTACTTAAAAAAATCGAATTTCAGCGATGCAACAAATACTGTTTTGGTATAGACCATGTCCCAAATATTGCATGGGATATATTTATACTAAGTTTTTCAATGTTGACCTGAAATTCAAATATAACTGGGTATCCAGAATTTTTATTTGCTAACTCTGACAGCTTTTGTGTGAGTGTGTATAAATATATATATTTATAGTTATTAGTGTGTATATATATATATATATATATATATGTTTCCTAGCTTTGTCCTTGAGAGGGCCTAGGAGCAGTGACACCCTAATAGCATGGAACACAGTTAGTACCCAGAACTTGGTTTCTAAACACTTATACTCTGTACTGAAAGGAATCAGAGCTCCTTGGAGAAATGGCTGATTCTATGGCTGAAGCAGGGAAGGTATAAGATGAGCCTGGGACATCTTGTTGTGCCAGAAAGTACCAGAATGCTAAGAAAGGAATCTGACAGGGCCACATCTCAAGGACACAGGGGCCAACTTGAAGAGGCTCCCACTGGCCAAATAAAGGTAAATTTGAGCACCAAAATAAGGATAGTAATGAATTAGAAAACATTGAGAAACGTACAAATCTATGAGTCCATGCTGATAAATAAGTAAGTGGGGAGAAAGGGAAAGCTCTTGTTTACAGGACCATGCTGAGTGTTGACTGGTAAATGTGGAAGGAACCCCAGAGTTGGAAAATCATTATTTTGCAACCATCATACTAAAGACTGATTCAGGCAAAAATGACTCTCAGATGCTAAATAAAGGGGAAAATGTTGATGATGAGAAAGATACTTGCGTGGTCTCAAAGTGTTTCCCCAAAGACTGCTTACTAGTTACAAAGGTGAAAATGGTAACTATAGGGTGCAGAGACTAGACAACACCTTCCTTCACCAAGTGATCAAAATCCACATCAGCGATGAGAGGCAAATGGCCATCATGGGACTCCAGATGTAATACGCTGAGAAGAACACAACATCATGTATGTGGTTTGCCATCCAGGAAAGCATAACTAGGACTTGACCACGAGGAAGCATCAGACAAACTCAAAATAAGGAACATTCTTTTTTTTTTTTTTTTAAGGAAGAGAGATTGTTATTATTTAAGGTAAAAATGTCCATGTCATTAAATACAAAGAAAGGCTGTGGAAATGTTCCAGATGAAAAGCAACTGAAGAAACATGACAACTAGATTCAGTGCCTGACCCCAGACTGGATCCTGTACTGGAAGGGCAAAGTGATATAAAAGATATTATTGTATCATTTAATGGAATTGGAATACAAATGGCAGATCAGTATCAATGTTAAATTTATGGAAGTTGGTAAGTGTACAGTTGACTCTTGAACAATCTGCGGGTAAGAGCGCCGACCCCCCCCACAGTAAAAAATCCACCTATAATTTTGACTCCCCTCCCACCCAAACTAAGCTAATGGCCTATTGTTGACTGGAAGCCTTACTGATAACGTACAGTCAACGTATATTTGGTATGTTCTATGTATCCTATGCTGTATTCTTACAATTAAGTAAGCCAAAGCAAAGCAAATGTTATTAAGAAAATCTTAAAGAAGAGCGAATACATTTATTCTAGTTGCTGAAAAAAATCCAAACCTGTGCTGTGCTTATAAAGAAGAATATCTTTATTCTCGGGAAATACACCGAGGCCCTCAAGTGGTTCAGGAAAAAGATACACTGTTATTTATACTCTTATTTTTGCAACCTCTCCGTAACTTTGAAATAATTTATTTAGAAAAAAAAAAAGAAAGAGTGAGCTCAAGTCTTGCCTCCTCAGGGAATCCAGACTCCAACAGCCCTTTTCCTGAACTGTGCCGCCTCTGTCTGGGTCTTCTCCCACATGAAATGTCAAGGGATTGACTCCTGTCGCCTTTGCCAATTCAGGGCCTGGTACAGGGGCCAGCCCATCGTACCTACTCAATAAACATTTGTTGAACGAGCAAATGTTCCAAATAATTTGAATGGGAAACCTGTGAAAACTTGCCTTAGTGTCTATAACAGAAGCCAACTGGGGGTCTAAGCGGTCCGCGGCCTCCGAGCCTGCAGGGTCTGTGGCCCAAGCCTCCTGGCCACCTTCTCACAACTTGCCCCGCGGGCCACCTGAGCCACGCCGTAGCCCAGGATGCTGTGGAGTCAGCCCCTCCGGGAAAGCAGGCCCAAGGGCGGTTTATCTCTGCCAAATGAGCTCCGGGCCTCTTCCTTGACTGGGCTTCCGCATGAGCGGTGTGGCCAGACACCGAGACTGGTTCCCACGCAAGGCCCTCTGGGAGCTGCCCTGAACCCTTCTGTGCCACCACTCCCGGAAAGCCTTTCCTGACACCGGCCTTCCTCTGCTTGCCTGAGTTACGTGTCCTCCGCGTGTATCACGTGCAACACTGGTCCCTAACCCCTGCTGCAGTGTGGACCCCGGGCTTTAAATGTTTGCACCCCTGATATGCAGAAGAC